AGAAAACAGAGGATTCCCTGAAATGCAAGTTAAAACCATACAAGAAACCCACACCCACAAGAATGTCTAAAATTAAAAGAGCTAACAATATCAAGTGTTGACGAGAATGTGGAGCAACTGGAACTCCCATACATTGTTGAAGTAATGTAAACTGGTACACTCAATATACTAAAGCTAAACACATATATACGCATTGACCCAGCAATTCCACTCCTAAATATGTATACCCAAGACATACATAAGAATGTTCATAGCAGCTTTATTCAGAATAGAGAAAAACTGGAAACAATTTAAAGGTCCATCAACAGGAAAAGGGATAAATTGTGGTATATTCACTCACTGGAATACTACCCAACAACAACAACAACAAAAATAAAGTATGATTCAACAGCATAGATGAATCTTGTAGACATGATATTGAGAGAAAGAAGCCAGACACAAAAGGTCACATTTTGTATGATTTCATTTATATGAACTATCCAGAATATAGTAAATCTATAGAGACAGAAAGCAGACTTGTGGTTGCCGGGGGCTGGGGAGAGGAGGGATTGGGGAGTGACTGCTTAATGGGTATGGAGTTTCCTTTTGGGGTGATAAAATGTCTTCAAACTAGATAGAGGTGATGGTTGCACAGTACTGTGAGTATACGAAATGCCACTGAATTGTACACTTTATAACAGTTAATGACTAATTTTATGTTGTGAAATTTTAAAAATTTGATTAAAAAAGTATGTCTGCATGACTCTACTTATATTACTTTCAAAAATAGGAAGAACTAATCTATGATGACAGAGGTAAAAATAATGTTTACATTTGGGGGATATTGTCTGGAAGGGTGCACAAGGGAGCCTGTTGAAGTGCTGGGAATGTTCTATAGCTTAATCTGAGTGGCAGATCCATCTTGGGTGTAGACATCTATAAAAATTCATCAAGCTGTATACTAAAGATTGGTGTAGTTTACTATATGTAGGTTGTACCTCAATAAAAGAAGTGAATGAATACACAAGCAAAGGGCTCCCTGGAGTTTCCTATGCTACAACCCAAGGAGATGGGGGCTGGGGTGAGGAGGGGGCAGTTCTCAGGGCCTTGTCATCCTAGATGCTTCCCACCACTTTTCTTGTGGTAACCCTGCTGACAGGGCCTCATTCACAGTTTGTGCACACCCAGCATTTTGTCCCCAAAACAACTTGCTGTGTCCTGTGGAGAACTAGGAGCCCTGGAGGTGCAGTGACTAAGAGTTTGGCTGCCAACCAAAAGGTCCTGGCAGTTCAAATCCACCCAGCCGCTCCTTGGAAACCCTATGAGGCAGTTCTACCCTGTCCTATAGGGTCGCTATGAGTCGAAATTGACTCGACAGCAATGGGTTTCGGGTGGAGAGCTAATTGACAGTTTAGTGGTCTAGCAGCCCTACAGCCTTGTATTTCAAGGACATTTTACCAAGTTAACTCTTTTATCAAGCCCTTCACAGGTGAATGCTTTGGGCTTTACTCACTATTATTGTCCACAGTCAGATTAATCCCTATAATACGCCCTGGTGATGGGGGGATAGTGGTCTCTAAATATCCTGGTGGGAGAGCCAGACCCAAATGTCGCTGATGGTGACTCTATCCTTCAAGCTATTAGGACTGAATAGTTTGTAGGTATCCTTGACCCCTCTCTTTCTGTCACATTCCACATCAATCTGGCAGGAAACCATGCTGGCTCACGTAACTTTCAAAATATATCTAGAATCTGACCACTTCTCACCGCCTCCACTGTTATCCCAGTGATTAGAGCCACCACCATCTCTCACCCGGACTGCGGCCAAAGGCTCTTAACTCTCTGTTTCTACTTGATTCCCAGCAGAGCAGCCAGGTGATCCTTCTAAAACCTAAATCAGATCCCATCTCTCCTCTGCTCAGAGCTCTTCATGGGCTCCCACCTCACTCAGAGTAAAAGCCCCCAAGACCCCAAGGCCCTTCATCATCTCACCCTGAATTTAACTCTACAACCTGCAACCCCCTACACACGCATCAGCGCTCGTGATTCCTTTTACTACTATTTTTTTTCTTCATAGCATTCATCCCTATACAACTCACTTGTTTGTTTATTGTTTGCTGTCTCTCCTCACTAGGATGTAAGTTTCATGAGAGAAGGAATCTGTTTTATTCAGGAATGTATTCCAAATGTCTAGAACAGTGTCTGGCATATATACCCATTGCCAGTGAGTTGATTCTGACTCATAGCAATCCTATAGGACACAGTAGAACTGCCAAGGAGCGGCTGGTGGATTTGAACTGCCGACCTTTTGGTTAGCAGCTGAGCTCTTAACCACTCTGCCACTGGGGCTCCAGTCTGGCATACAAAACCAAAAAAACACCAAACCCGTTGCCGTCAAGTCGACTCCAACTCATAGTGACCCTATAGGCATATAGTAGTGTTAAGAATAATCAAAACTCAAAGAAATGGAAACGTATGGTTTATTCTAAGCAATTATTCCGTATGCATATAGGGAGACCATTTTGATTCCAAAAAAAAGCAAATGGCTCAAATCAGGCTAGTTACAGTGAAGCTTATAAAGAGGAGAGGAGGGAGAAGAACAGAAGATCAACCACTGGCTAATCTTAACATGATTGATTGAACCCTGCCCTCCCCCTTTTATTGAGATCACAAGTTGGTCTCTGGCTGACTTCAAACAGGAAAGAAAAGATTAGCAACTTTGGGTGAAAAAAGCCACTGGCAACATTTGGTCAGGAATTCTTAGGGTTAATATTTGGTTTCATGGGTAAGAAAAACCCTAAAATCAAAGTAAATATCTGTTATTGATTTTTCTCTTTGACAGTAAGAGTTCAATATATGTTTGTTGAATCAATGAAACCAGCCTCCTATGCTCATTCAGTGTGATTGCTGAGCTTGGCTGAAAGGATCCAGGAACTTTCTGGATAAAATTGTTATGGCTCCAAGATGACAACAGTCAGCCTTGGAAATTCTCTCCTGTACAGAGGAAGATGATCCAGAGAAATTTATCAAACAAGGAAAGCATTCAGCCAGACTTTCCTCCTGTAGGGGCTGCTGATCACTTAAATGATAAAAAGAAAAAGGAAATAGAGAGGGAGAGTTCCTTGTGGGGATGAAAAGGCATCTTGAATACACAATACATCTTGAATCTACAGATTAAGTCTTGGTCTAGGGACCCACCTGTCCCTGGAATGAGGAAGGCCCTCTCCCAGCTGGGGTGGGGCACATAGGTAGAGGCTGGGAGGCAGGTGGCAGAAAGGGACTGCATTCTTGCTGGGTTTCTCCTCCTCCTTCTCTAGGGGAAGGCTCACACCAGATCATGCCCTTCTAGACAGGGTTGAACAGAATTCAGACCACTGCTGCGAACCCGAGTCTCCTCTCCCTACCCAAAACCTCCAACAGAAATCCACTCTCCCTTTTTATAAACGGAAGAACTGAGGTTGAGTGGGAGGGTGGAAAGGGGCTCAGTTTATCAAGAGTACTCTACAGATTAATGATGTAGTTGGAACTGGGACCCAAAATCCCAGGTCCTGGGTTGTGTCCCAGATGGACCTCCTCTCAGCTTCTGCCGGCAGAGTCTTCCTCCCTTCATGTTCTAAGATGACTCCCTCCTCCTTCCCAGTGGCTCAGCCTTTTATCCCAATGCAGGGTGACGTTCTAGAAGCCAGTGTCACACACCCCTGCCCATAGGGGAGGCCAACACAGAACCCCAGGCTGCAGGCCCAGAGGATCTCAGTGCTCTTGTGACTGAGGCCCAGAGAGGGCAAACAACTTGTTCAAGATCACACAGCTCCTGGGTCATGTTAAGTGTAGCACTGAAAACAGAGTCTAGATCTTCTGATCCAACTTTAAAGTTCCTTCCAGCCCTGAGATTTTATGATCCCATGACCCTGGACCAGCCTTTTTCCCTCTGTACCAGAGCTGCTTCCATCACAAAGCTCTTGCCCTAAAAGTCCCATGATGCCATTCCTGGCCACTGGCTGTAACCATAATAGCTCATGGCCCTGGCCCGTTGAGAGGGTAAGAATCTTTTTCAGGGGTGTTTGGAAATATATTCAGCAGCCATATTGCTCTTCTCACGGCCAGCTCCCCTCAGCTTCTCTAAGTCGTCACTCTTGCACTTCCTCTCCTCCCAGGCCCTGCAACTTAGTCCAGCGCGTTTGCTCTTTGCCTTCTCCCAGCTAATTCCCTGCCTCTCCACCCTCATTCCAGTTCCTCAGCCTGGCTGGACACTGTCCTGGCTCTGAGTGGTATGCTGAAACCCAGGATGTTGAAGATGGATGGACCTAGAGATCAGAGTCGTGCCCCTACATTGGGGAGTTGTCTACTAGAGACCTCGGGGGACTGTCCCCTCTCTATTGTTTGAGGATTGGAGTGGGCTCTCCCATTCCCTTACTCTTTTATTCATTTATTGAGCACCTAAGATGTACGTATTTTTTATGAGCACCAACTATGTAGCAGACACTGAGTAAGAGCTTTTACTATCTCATACAGTCCTTACGAACAGTCTAGTGAGGTAGGGATTATGCCCATTTTATAGATCAGGAAGCTGAGGTTCAGAAAGGTTCTATAATTACAGAGCTAATAAGGTCCAGGGTCCAGAATGAAACCTAGGTCTGTCTGGTTGACTAGAAGCCCAAGCCCTAGACAAGGCGAGGGTGAGTGAGTAGGGGTGTGGAGTTGGACCACCATCTTCCATGGCCTCCTCGGCTATAGGACTGAAGGGGTGAATATCACCGGGGAAGTGATTCTATATCTTTAAACCAAACTTCAGAGAGAAACGGTCACGGGGTGAGGGGGACAGGAAGGTCAGCATGGTTGAGACCTCAACTTGCCAGTTCTTAGCCCGTGCATTTGTAATCACCTGGTGGCATCCTGGAAACCACCCCGTCACAGCCAGGCAGGTGGCCCGCCCCTCCTCTCTGGGTTGAGGAAGCAGGAAAATACAGCAGTGAGGGCAGTGGGCAGGTCTGCTGGCCATAGTGGCCGGCACCGCAGCCACGATGGGCTCTCTCTGGGGCCTGGCTCTTCCCCTTTTCCTCTTCTGCTGGGAGGCTGGCGTCCCCGGGAGCTCTGCAGGTAAGGAGGGCAGAGGGGGCCTGTGGGCTTCTTTCCTGCCAGGGCTCTGGGTGTGAGTTTCAGTGTGGACAGCCCCGTGGGTGAGGGTAGGCTCTCCTAAGCTAATTATGATTAATTATAAGGCTATAAAAATGTGAAGTATTATTATTGTTGATAAAGAGTATGCAAATAGCAGTGTGTGTCATTTTAAGCACGTATGGGCGCTGCAGTACATACAAATAAATGTTATCGAAAGGGTGCCCGTGAGTTTGTCTGTATGCAGGTGGGATTTTGAGGAAGCGGGGTGAGTAGAGACAGAGTGCGCGTGTGTGAACGCAGGGGGCATGTAGGCTGGTTAATCATTCTTAAAG